AGCGTCGATTTTCCAAAAGTCAATCATCCGAAAGAATTCCAGTCGGCAAATTTAAATTTTCACCAGTGCTGTGGCACTTCAATCTTTGGCTATGTCTTGGGCTACTCAAATATTTTACGTTTTTAATACTAAATTAACATCTGAAGTATAATTTTTTATTATTTTTATATTTTTCAATATATTTATTTTGTTTATACAAAATAAAAAAATAATTTTTAACGATACAATAGTCTTTGTTAGGTTTAACATCGACGAAAATTCAACGCAAAGCGACATGCAATGGATAAAAATTTCGACATCGGATACGTTAAACTATTTTTTTGTACGTAAATCAGTTATCCGAAATATCAGTTATCCGGACAACCCCAGTCCCCAATTGATTCGGAAAATCGACGCTCTGCTGTATATACTTTGTTTTCTGTAATACATATTGTTAAAATTAAAAGAAGAGATGGTTTTAACTTAACATAAGCAAAACTTTTCCAGAAATGTCTAAATTTTACATCAATTTTAATAATTATCTAATTATTAAAGTTAATAATACACTGACTGTTAACTATTGACAAATTTGTTTGATTCTTTTATAACTAGTACAAGAATATCCTGATTACTGGCAATTTTGTTTATCACTTTAATATTCACATTGTATTTTTTAAGTTGTTTTGTAATAAATTTTATTCTTCTAATTGCTATTCTCTGAAAATGAAAAGGAAAATATTTTATAATATTCAAATTTAAGAAATGTATTTGATTACTATAAAATTCTAGAATAATTTTATTACATAAGTTATTATCTTTTGAAGGCTATCTAAGATATACTGAATATATTTATAAATGAACAAGTTGTAACTAACAGAAAATTTACTTAATATACTTTTATCTATAGATAAAACCATGTAAATCAGTTGTATTTAAATTATCGATATTTATATATTTACTGAATGGCAAAAGGCCAATCTTGCTTTACTTCAAAAAATAATCTTCAGCAAACAACATTCATAAGCAGGTACAGCAGACCAATAAGTGTCGATTGTATATTTATTATCAATATTAAATCAAAATTACAGCATGTAGAAACAAAACTAACAGTTTCTCAAACGTTAGTTCAATAATTAATACCTTATTTGTTTACAGAAATTATACAATAAATCGTTTTTGATTTAGGACAACAAAACTTTCTTTTTATAAATAAATCAAATTTGCAATGGCTTTTGAGCTTACCTTCAGGATAGTTATAGCAATTGTCATCAGTTCAATCATATAATAATAAAGTAACAAACAAATATTTTACAAACTATATTCAAAGGTCTTCAAGTTTGTGAATCAGTCATTTATATGACAGGTATGTTTCACCATCTCTAATGTTTACTATGTTATGTCTCAGTCTTCTATCATATATCCATAGAGTTTTTCTGCTTTTTTGCATTTCTCTTTTTCATTTAGCTTTTTCAAGGTCGTTGCTTTGTTCCAAAATATATTAACTCTATTGATATAAATGAGTAATCAAAAAGTCCTAGACAACTTTAGTTCATTATAAAATAACTACAAAAATATTGAAATTCTAAAAAAAAAAAAATAATAATATTAGGACTAAAAAGGGAATTAGTTAATGAGGCTTTCAAACTGTTTACCTTCAAAAGCCACAAATTACACAATGCTGTAGTCAGGCCTCAAAGTTCTTGAATATGGTGTGAATTTTATCAAGCTGAGTAGATTGAAAAGCATCAGTGTTATTGATGTTTTTAACTCTGAAATTGATCTGGGAGCTGTCTGATAAACTGTTTTTCACATGACCCCAAAGATAAGTCAAGTGGATTGATATCTTATAAATACAGAGATCATATGAGAACATTTAGATAGTGACTAAGGTATCCAAGAGTGATGTTTGATGACTTTTTCTCTAAAGGTGTGGTTGATTGTTGAAAAACCTCAACTTCCTATGAGATGGTGCACAATCCTGCATAAATCAATAACTGTCATCCACAGGATTTGAGCTGTAAAGCACCAAAATTGCTACTTGGAGTCATTTTTATTAAAGTGGCGATAAAAACCCCAGTGCATTTGTTTCGACGTTTAGTGTGAAATTGAATCACAAATCATACTTCGAAAAAAAAAAAAAAAAAACAGCAAAATGTTGAGCTTTCATACAATGGGATCCTGTGCACCACACACCCAGTGATTTCATGATGTCACATGGCAAGTTCGAGCAGAAAAATAAAATGTGATGTTAAGAACCAAAGGAAGTTTTGTGCAATGCCATCCAATGTTTCCAGAGTGGAGATTTTTTATAGACTGACAAAAATTTTGGGGAATTTTTTTGAGATGACTTTTTTCTATTTTGATCTTTTTTCAGTAGACCAGGGCTTCTTAAACTTTTTTTACTCACGACCCCATTTATGATTGTGATTTTTTTCGCGACCCCCAAAAAATATAAAATAAAGATATACAAATTTGCAAAAACAATAATGGTGTACTACCACAGTTCACTCTTGTGTTACAATGGAACAAAGACAACTAAATACACTGAAAAGCGACAACACTACACTAATTCACACTACAATCAGTGTTGAACGTCACATTAGAATCATTGTCTCGCTGCACCAGAAGTGACACAAAGCGCAACTCACGAACCTATGGCACAAAGCGTGCCATTTTCAAACTCTCACAAATTATTTTCAATATTTTGCATTAAAATCTTGCGACCCCAAGATTTCTCTAAGCGACCCCAAATGGGGTCGCGACCCATAGTTTAAGAAGCCCTGCAGTAGACTAACAAAATTTTTGACATGACAGAACTTGTGAAATATTGTTTAAACATTGTAATGAAATGTGTTTGAGAATTATTCATTAAAAATTATTCAAAAATGATTGCACTTACTAAACCTTTATTGTCCGGTACTTGTAAATTATTCATAAAAACAAACGTTTTCGGCCTCAGACAAGGTCTTCTTCAGGTTAAAATAATTGGATTCCATTCTTAGAATGAACGTTTAGTTTTAAAATATAATCAAATTCGTGCGCGTGTTACGTATCGTCATCGTTTTGTTGTTCTTCGCATATGTAACGCCAAGCATAAGAAAGCGTGTTGCCGTCTTTGGTGTTTATGCATCTCCCCGTTCTGCCGGCTTTGTAGATTTCCAGGGCTTCAAGGGCTCTGATGTGGTCCGTATTAAAAGCTCTATTTATTAATCTGGCTTTTTAAAACTAAACGTTCATTCTAAGAATGGAATCCAATTATTTTAACCTGAAGAAGACCTCGTCTGAGGCCGAAAACGTTTGTTTTTACGAATAATTTACAAGTACCGGACAATAAAGGTTTAGTAAGTGCGATTTTATCAGAATACCGGTATTCAGATTAGAAGATTTTTGATTGCTATTGCTATCAAAGGGATGGGCAGACATTCAGGTCTCCAATTCAAACAAAACTTGCTGAACACATGGCCTTAAGCACAGCTCCTTGACCAAATAATAGGACCCATTTCTCAACTGCTTTGAAAAATTGTGCCTCTGAAAATTTAGTGTTCAGGTTATAAGTCTTTGGAAGTTCCATGTCCCAGATCGGCAATAACTGAGTGAATAAGATCCTAGGTACTAGACATAGACAATGTAGGTTAGAACGTTCAGAGTTTTAGTTTTCTTTTTTTTTTTTTTAATGTATAACTTTCTTATTTTACGATATCATTAGCATTATAAATATAAACATCTTTACTAAATCCAATACATTGCAATAACACCCTTCAACTGCCATATATCATCAGGCTATAATTTGTCAACTTATAGCCCGATGATATACAGCAGTTGAAGGGTGTTATCATTAGCAATTATTATTACTATTATTATTCCTCCTGTTTAAAGCCATAAAACAAGGAATTAAAAATTGTGATGTCATTTCCCGTTTAGCAAAAACAAGCCACTGTAGATTTAACTCTTTAATGTTGTTAAATAAGACTTTTTATTTCTTCACATTTATTTTCACATATTTTACATACATGTCCTCACAAGTGAATAAGTTTTGGACATCCTGCACATGGACGAAAAAGATAAGTGATATGAAAATACGGTAGTGTAGTCACAGCATTTAATTTTTTTTTAATTATTATTATTATGGACAATATCCTCACACACTCATGTTTGTTACACTTCAAATGTTACAATACCATTATATCTGAAAATAAGCTGAAAAGTATTTCAAAGTTTACAGATGATATTTGGTTCTTTAAAACATTTTACAGTTTTTTTTATTTGTATATCAATAGCTTCAGTCTTCAACTCTGCTTGTTCAGCTGAAGATCCTGAGTCCTGTAGCTCATTTTCTTCCAAGGACTAAGGTCACTTTATGCATTTGTGCCCAGGTACTCCAACACTTGATGCAGTCCTTATTGTCCTGGGTGACAACTGAACCAGTATAGGATTTGTTTTATTTAAGTTATTTGCACTATAGTTATTGGGTTTTGGATATGTGATCTGGCCCCTCATTAAAGGTCTGTCTTACTTGAGTAGGCTACCAGCTTAACTATTTAAATCATTGGAGCACACAAGTCTCACCACCCAATAGATAGTGTGTCTCCTTTAGAGTTATTATTAGTGGGTATTTATTAGTTATTATTAGTATTATTTATTTATTTTTATATAACTGCNAAACGTTTGTTTTTACGAATAATTTACAAGTACCGGACAATAAAGGTTTAGTAAGTGCGATTTTATCAGAATACCGGTATTCAGATTAGAAGATTTTTGATTGCTATTGCTATCAAAGGGATGGGCAGACATTCAGGTCTCCAATTCAAACAAAACTTGCTGAACACATGGCCTTAAGCACAGCTCCTTGACCAAATAATAGGACCCATTTCTCAACTGCTTTGAAAAATTGTGCCTCTGAAAATTTAGTGTTCAGGTTATAAGTCTTTGGAAGTTCCATGTCCCAGATCGGCAATAACTGAGTGAATAAGATCCTAGGTACTAGACATAGACAATGTAGGTTAGAACGTTCAGAGTTTTAGTTTTCTTTTTTTTTTTTTTAATGTATAACTTTCTTATTTTACGATATCATTAGCATTATAAATATAAACATCTTTACTAAATCCAATACATTGCAATAACACCCTTCAACTGCCATATATCATCAGGCTATAATTTGTCAACTTATAGCCCGATGATATACAGCAGTTGAAGGGTGTTATCATTAGCAATTATTATTACTATTATTATTCCTCCTGTTTAAAGCCATAAAACAAGGAATTAAAAATTGTGATGTCATTTCCCGTTTAGCAAAAACAAGCCACTGTAGATTTAACTCTTTAATGTTGTTAAATAAGACTTTTTATTTCTTCACATTTATTTTCACATATTTTACATACATGTCCTCACAAGTGAATAAGTTTTGGACATCCTGCACATGGACGAAAAAGATAAGTGATATGAAAATACGGTAGTGTAGTCACAGCATTTAATTTTTTTTTAATTATTATTATTATGGACAATATCCTCACACACTCATGTTTGTTACACTTCAAATGTTACAATACCATTATATCTGAAAATAAGCTGAAAAGTATTTCAAAGTTTACAGATGATATTTGGTTCTTTAAAACATTTTACAGTTTTTTTTATTTGTATATCAATAGCTTCAGTCTTCAACTCTGCTTGTTCAGCTGAAGATCCTGAGTCCTGTAGCTCATTTTCTTCCAAGGACTAAGGTCACTTTATGCATTTGTGCCCAGGTACTCCAACACTTGATGCAGTCCTTATTGTCCTGGGTGACAACTGAACCAGTATAGGATTTGTTTTATTTAAGTTATTTGCACTATAGTTATTGGGTTTTGGATATGTGATCTGGCCCCTCATTAAAGGTCTGTCTTACTTGAGTAGGCTACCAGCTTAACTATTTAAATCATTGGAGCACACAAGTCTCACCACCCAATAGATAGTGTGTCTCCTTTAGAGTTATTATTAGTGGGTATTTATTAGTTATTATTAGTATTATTTATTTATTTTTATATAACTGCACCTTAACCAAATATCAGAATACTTTTTTCATTCTTATAAAATTAAAACCACTCACACATTTCCAGTAAATGGTTTATTGAATAAATATACAGACATTTTCAGTTTATTTTATAAACCTGCCTCAGGATTTAAACTATAAAATTTTGAAATCTCAAATTGGAGCATTTCAAACATTTGATGACAATATTTATAAAATTTTTAAAATATTGTAATTTTGTATACATAAATTTACACTATATTTGAAAATATATTTTATATATTAATGAAAAACCAAGCACACAAAATAAAAATACAAATAAAGTAAACAATAACCATCCAATATGCCCAAGTTTTTGTATGTACCATATTATACCAAGTTTTTGTATGTCATAATGTTCCAGCTTTGGTTTTGGATTTTGTACTTATATAATTACACTTTATAATTAACATATGCAAAGCACAGAAGTACACTTACCTTACAAGTACACTTAGAGCACCCAATGGTGTAACAAGAGATGCAGGTGCAAATGCATAAGCTGCAAAATTGGCACCTTCACCAATTCCCACTAGAATATTACAAAAATAAAATATTTAATTGTTATTTAGCATTTGGAATTTTTAAATATCTTAAAACATTAAAAAAAAATTATCATCAGTAAGCATGGCAAGCAAAAAACTATTTCCTTTGTCACCATTTAAAAATTTGTTTCAAATTATTTATCAAAAACTATAAGGCTCAATTCATTGTATCACTTTTCTGCATTAATTTTGTGGTTTCTCTCCATTCAGATGTTGCAGGAAACAACCAAACATGACCACAGTTTGGTGGTTCACGAATGGTCCATATCAATAACAGAGAACTTCACCACAAATAGTACTGCGTTTCCCTGAAAATAAAACCAAGTCTTATATTAATTTTTGCTCCAAAAGATGCATTAGGTCTTATTTTCAGGATATGTCTTGTCCAAAGGTGCTTGCTTGGGTATTTACAAATACAGTAGAGCGTCAATTATCCGAAAGAATTCCAGTCGGCAAATTTAAATTTTTGCCAGTGCTGTGGTACTGCAATCTTTGGCTATGTCTTGGGCTACTCAAATATTTTACGTTTTTGATACTAAATTAACTTCTAAAGTATAATTTTTTATTGTTTTTATATATTTCAATATATTTATTTTGTTTGTACAAAATAAAAAAAGTAATTTTTAATGATACAATAGTCTTTGTTAGGCTTAACATCGACGAAAATTCAACGCAAAGCGACGCGCAATTGATAAAAATTTCGACATCGGATACGTTAAACTATCTTTTTGTACGTAAATCAGTTATCTGGACAACCCCAGTCCCCAACTGATAATCAACACTCTACTGTACTTAAAATAAATGAAAATATAAATTATAATTAAGTATTAATGTCAATAATAATATTTATTTATGTTTAATTACATTATTATTATTTTATAAAACAGTCAGTTAAGATTGTCAGTCAGATGTCTGACAATCTTAACCAAGTTTTATTTAGGGGGTAGAGCTTATATTATAAGCATCCTGAAAAATCATGCTAAGGCTTGTTTTTGAGGAAATACAGTAGTACGAAAATGAGTTTTGATGAAGTAGCAATGTTATGGGTTTTATTATGCTGAAGAAAACAGCATCATTGAAACAGAACTTTTTGGGTTTATACAATTATAATATACAAAAACAAAGGCCAGTTTCACTTTATGATTGGCTGAGAAAGTAGAAACTATGAAAATATTTTAATGGCATCAGATTTTTATCTCATTTGAAAATAACGCAGTTTACTGAGTGAGCAGATCATTGAACACAGTTCAAAATAAATTTGCAGACTATTTCCTAACATTAACAATTCTTACAATGCAGTATAATAAGTGCTAAGAAGTGTTGAATTGTTGAATAAATTGTTCTTACCATAATCATACTTCTTTTTAGCCTTCCTTTCAAAATTTTCATAAGATTTGAAGCAAAGGTATGGGAATACCTTTGCTTCAAATTTTGAATTTGGTTGCTATTAGCAGCACTCCCAAACACATGATAAATTGTGAATTTCTGCTATAAACAACTCTGTGTCAAAAGAATCACTTTCAGTCTCCATTTTCCACCAAATATTGCATGTGATTGAGTAACCAGTTTTTGCACCAAATGTACACGTGACCAGACATCTGTGTGAGTTGCATTTGACCACTGATTGAAACAATTTCGTGGGTGATACAACCATGCATTGCAAATGTTCTAAAATATAACTTCAATGAGTGGTCTGTCTGAGTTACTATTCTACATTTCCACATTAATTCATTAACATCCATAAACAACCAATCTGTTCTGTGGTTGGCTTGTGGTTTTGAAGTGGTATGTATGAGTTGAATCTAAAGCAATAAGCCAAGTTATGCTAATTTTTGGACTTTCTTTTTATTCAATTAATTTGGTATTAAGATAGATGCTGCCATTTTGTACAACAAGTTATTAACAGAAATGAATTCAGAAACAATTTGAAGAAAAAAATTAATTAGAATGAAATTCAAATTAAAACCTCTGCAAACTAGCAAGTACAGTCAATTATAAACAAAAAATTAGAACTAACTAAAACTTCAAATCAGATAACTTTTAGTATTGGTAGTAAAAATAACTTCAAAAAAACAACTTCATCTTTAACAAAAACAATTTACAGTCAACCCCCCTTTAAACTGTCCCTCAATGTACTGCCATCCAGATTTTCCAAAAAAAGTCTCAGAAAATATGATTTATTTCATAGTAAATTGATAGTATAAACCACCAACCCATTTCCCACCATCTGCCAACCATGATTTAAAATAAGAGTCATTTTCTGTGCAAAATATTTCAGATAAACTGCCTCAAATTTTTATTGTCACAAAAATTAAGGTAAAATATTGTAGGAATGGGAGTTCCCAGCAATTTTAAAATGTGAGAAACAAGAAGTTTTGTCATGAGTAATGGTTTTTCTTATCCAATTGATGGTTAGGAACATTAAATTACAAATAAATGTCGCTAGACAGACAAGCACTTTTGACGATAATTATTTTCGTCTTCATCAGGTCATTAAAAAACAGTTAAATTCCTTTTTTTTTTATTTGTTTCATTTCATTTCATTTTTTACTCCCATTGTGAGTAAAAAAAACTCTTATAAAATTGTGTGTGTGTATGTGTGTGTTTATTTATTTTGCATTATATCTCAAAACTGGATAAACCTAAAATTTTGAAACTTGGCACTGCTATTTCTACAGAGCATTGCAAAATTTCATCTTTTGAATGAAGTAATAAACCACAGCTACAATTCTTTAATCCTTGTTAGACCACTACTGCATTGCTAATTAGTAAATTAGCCTAATGAATTATATCTGTCCAAAGATGAAATAGTATCCAATGGAACCAAGCAATTCTTCCATATTAGACAGGTTTCCACAAGTATTCCCTGATTAATGTGATTAATTAATATCTCGATGCTCTGTATATCAAATTTGCATTAATGAAATACAATAGTACCTCAGTACTTGACTGAACAATTGCTGCCTGATAGAACAAATTTTCAGTTAATAACAAATATTTTTATTTTAACTTTAATTTTGCCATCCATAAAACAGTTTTCTATGATAAAAATAAGTAACTAATTTAAAAATAAAATGAAACCTTATAGCTGCCTATCTTCATCAGACAAAATTATAATTGATCCAGTTTTTTGTTTTTTAACATAATGAGTGCAGAACTCAATCATCATCATGTTTTAGAACCATTTCAAGTGCATGAAGTGTTTCAACAATACATGTCTGTGACATACTAAAATTTGTTGCAAAATCATGAGTTGTTATTTGTCAATTTTTAACAATTTCTTCCCTTAATTTCTCTTTGTCAACAGCTTTTGGGCAGCCTGTACATTTTGTATCCTTTAGTTCAAAATTTCCCAAATGAAACTTTCAAAACCAATTTGACACATTCAAAGTTTAGGAGCAACTTTCCCATGTGCACTATGAGTAATTTTTACTGTTTGTATAGTGTTATATCCTTTATAAAACTTAAAAAGCACAATATGACTAATATGCATTTTATCTGTAGACATTTTGACTTGATTTTATTCAAATAAAATGTGATGTAAAAAGTTTAAAGTAAGTTTATTTTATTTATTTTTATTTTTATTTTATTTAGCATTCTGGTACAAAGACCCTGATGCGGGGATATAGAATAAAACAGAGTATACAAAACATTACAAAATAATATACACATTTCACATATTATATCCATCCATTGCAGTAACATAATTTGATATTAATAGAAAATTACACAATTCAAAAATTATTTTAAACCAAATTCAGCAAAAAGAAAACAAAACAAAAACTTAAACTACATGGGAGAACTATCCGANAATTAACGAAAAAAGTGTAAAAATAATCCATAAAGAAAAAGACAGTTACCTACGAAAATTCAAAGAGCATTTCGAAATTGTTAATAAAAGCAAAACCATAAACTTAAATGATGGAATGGAGGTTGACAACTTGTGGAGGAAATAGGAGGAGCTAAAGGGAAAGGAAACAAAAAGAGGGGAAAACGGTCTAAAAATGCCTTAGGGGACACAACATCAACACTGTACAGATGTGGATCTTAACTTAAAACAGGTTAGTTAACTATTGTATTTTTTATTTATTTATTTAGCATTCTGGTACAAAGACCCTGATGCGGGGATATAGAATAAAACAAAGTATACAAAACATTACAAAATAATATACACATTTCACATATTATATCCATCCATTGCAGTAACATAATTTGATATTAATAGAAAATTACACAATTCAAAAATTATTTTAAACCAAATTCAGCAAAAAGATAAAGTAAGTTTCTAAACAAAGAATAAAATCCCATTTCAGCAATAATGTGTTAAATTTCACAACTGTTGTAATTAAATCACATATCTATGTTAAGTAAAGACAGCTGTAAAAAATATTCAAAAAACTTTATGTTAAACATGGAAGAGGATATCAAATTTTCCATTATACAGCCTGATTTTCCTTCCCATTTCCATGTTAGACAGGTTCCACTGTTTACAGGTTTTATATTGATTTTTGCCAAAAATAAGGGATTGAAGAAATCTCCCATTAATGACAAGTTTTTGTTATATACAGGTTTGTCTGTACATATAAATACTAAGGAGTCAGTGTTGGCTAGCTGATTCTGAGGAGTCATTAGACCAGCTCTGAAGTTGTCAAAAAAGAAAAATCTAACTTCCAAGCCCTGGTTTTAAAGCATAACAACAAAAATTTGCTTTATTGGAGTTCATTTACATTGAATAACAGACAGGAAATACAGACAAAGCACCTACACCAGAATACATCTAATTAGCACATTTATAATTTATGTAATATTTTAATTTAATAAATAATATATGTAAAAGGTAATTTAAATAATAATTAACAATTTAACATGCATTATATATACCTGAAGATGTTTGTTGTAAACAGATGAAAATGTTAGTAAAAATGTGTTAAATTGAGGTATGTTGGTGTAGTGTTTTGTCTGTTTAAATCAATAGATCTCAGTATTA